TGCATCTGTCTTCCCAATTAAACTACAAGCTTCTCAAGGTTAGAACTATCCCTTCTGCTTCTTTTAAATGTCATACGATAAAGAAATCATACGTTTCAGGGCAGCACCTGTGGCTCAAGGAGCAGCCCCGGCCAAAAAAAAAGAAATCATACGTTTCAAATCAAAAACCAGAACAAATGATTTTTTTTTTTTTTTTTTGAGACAGAGCCTCAAGCTGCCCCCCTGGGTAGAGTGCCGTGGCATTACAGCTCACAGCAACCTCCAACTCCTGGGCTCAAGCGAGTCTCCTGCCTCCGCCTCCCAAGTAGCTGGGACCACAGGCGCCCACCACAACACCCGGCTATTTTTTGGTTGCAGCCATCATTGTTGTTTGGCGGGTCCGGGCTGGGGATTCGAACCCGCCACCTTAGGTGTACGTGGCTGGCGCCTTAGCCGGTTGAGCTATAGGCGCCGAGCCAGAACAAATGATTTTTATACTACTTTCAGATGTGATAATGAAGTTTGAAAAATATAGTCATCAAAATATTTTTATATGTTATTGCAATTATTTTGTAAAAGTACTGAACAGAATTTTTTTTAATTTTACAGATTATTACAATTTAAGTTGAATACTTTTTGTAGTCTTTTATCATACAAGGAAGTTGTACAATACTACAACTATTGATACTACTGTTGAAAAACTTTTTGGTAGGGCCAGGTGTGGTGGCTCACGTCTATAATCCCAGCACTCTGGGAGGCTGAGGGGGGGAGAACTGCTTAGGCACAGGAGTTCAAACCAGCCTGAGAAAAAGCAAGACTCTGTCTCTACTAAAAATGAAAAAAGCCAGGTGTAGTGGTGGGTCCCTGTAGTCCCAGCTACTCAGGAGGGTTAGGCAGAAGGATTGCTTGTTTGAACCCAGGAATTTGATGTTGCTGTGAACTATGACACCAAAATACTCCAGCTTGGGGAACAGAGTAAGACTCTGTCTCAAAAAAAAAAAAGAAAGAAAGAAAAAAACTTGTTGACAATGAATAAAAATCTGCCTCCCTATAACTTAATACCACTGTTCTCACTTTCACCGTCTAGAATCTACTTTGTCCTCTACATCTCTATCCAAAACCTTCCCAAGTCACCCACTCCTATGACTTCCAGACTCTTCAGAATACTAGTCATCCAGGAACCAGGCAAGGTGGCTCACTCCTGTAATCCCAGCCCTTGGTAGGCTGAGGTGGGTGGATTGCCTGAGCTCACAAGTTTAAGACCAGCCTGAAGAGAGAGACCCTGTCTCTAAAAAAAACAGCAAGGCAAGCCTGTAACTCAGTGGCTAAGGGCGCCAGCTACATACACCAAAGCTGGCAGGTTCAAATCCAACCCAGGCCTGCCAAACAATGACAACTTAAATAAATAAATAAATAAATAGCCAGGCATTGTGGCAGGCACCTGTAGTCCCAGCTACTTGGGAGGCTGAAGCAAGAGAATCGCTTAAGCCCAAGAGTTGGAGATTGCTGTGAGCTGTGA